AACTGCCTTACTCCGGAGCTAGACGAGAGCAGCGATTCTGGACATGCAAGCACCGGTACGCCAGGTGATCCGTTCTCAAATCTGAAGCCTGATCTCAGTGAAGTAAGTCCATTCATTTATTAATGTATGCTGTCCTCGGCAATCATTTAACTGTAAGATTCTCTCTATAGCTGATGCCTTCAGATGCCGCTACAGTTTCCCTCCAGCGCACCGCTGATTCGTCCTCCGTCCTACGGTCCGCCTTCTCACTATCCACCGTCTCATCATCCTGCAGCCATGTTTTCAACAGAAATTTACCACCAGTTTCACTAGTGATATCATAGAGCTAGCCTGCAAGCCTTATTATAATATGAACAGTATTCACTTAGCAACTAGATGCAGGTAGAAGTAAGGGGTGAGAAGGCAAATAATCAAAGTACTGTAAAAAGACACTTAGGTCGAAACTCGCCGCAGTTGTCGAAGCATGTCTTGATACGAGTTGTTTTGCAACTGCATATCCCAATATATCTGTTGCTTTCTCTTTGTAGTGCTTGTTTTGTTGTGCTTATTATTGCTCACCAAATGTCGCCTCTGAAGTTTGCGGGTCCACCTCAGACGTCCGCAGGCCACGCACTCACTCCACTCTCACATCCACACTGAACACTCGCACATACACACACATACACACAAACCCAGCTCATTATATTTGGGGTGCTAAATTGCCTTTGTAAGTAGCGGAAACAGAATCTTATCGATTCACCTCAGCGAGCATTGAAGGAGATTGTTATGAGGGGTTCCGGTTCAACACGAGTGTTGCCACCTTCTGAGGGAAACAATGACAGATGCTCTAGAATCTTCTATGTGTCATAAATTACTGTATGTACTATATCATTTGAACATTTTATTGTGTCTTGTAAAATATCTAGTGATAAAGGTTTCAAAATAAATTTTTCGTCTCACATTGGCATCTGCGAATACAAAGAAGACGGATTGCCCCATATTTGCAACATGCAGAGTTCAAACGTCGCGCTGCAATGTTTGCCGACTCATTTGATTTCTTTGTTGCGCGTTAAGGTGACGTCACATACGTAACAAGTAGTAATTGCAAGCAGTAGAAGAGGGCGGCTGCACTGTCCGGCAAAGGCATCCTTGTTGCCATGGATTAGCCACACCGCAAACGACGTAATCTTTTGTTGATACACTCAGGGTGGTAAGGAGCCGTGTCAAGAACGTAAAAACCATCTTTAACTCAACACTGCCTCCGCTCCCTGTTAAAAATTTCGTTTTTATTGCAGAAAAATTATTAAAAAAAAATTCTACAGATCATCTCCAAAGCAGCCACCCACCGCGCGGCCTCTTAAAAGGCGAATTGAATAATTTCGTTTGATTCGGACATACTTGGCGTATAAATCACAACGAAGCGACAAAGGCGGCAGCGCGTGCGCTACGTTCCCTCATCAACCTCATTTCGACAAAAAATTTATCACCTAACAACAATTGAGCACTTAGGTGGAGTTCTTTTTTTTT